CTGAACCTTTGTCTGATCCTCTTGGGTATAAAACTAAATTGTAAGAAATCTCTGTAAAACCAAAGCAACACAGTGGTTTAGAGATTTTGCTAGTCAAAGGCTTTTATTTACAAATTTCCAGTACGTATTTCTATAGTCATGAGAGATCAGCTTACTGAATGTTGTCCTTTGTAAGGTCCTGCATAATTTTAAACTTATGCTGGAGTACCCAATGGGACTATGCTAGCAAGAATCACACAGAACCCCAGGATGTTGGGGGCTGGAAGGGCCCTCCGGAGCTCACCCATCCCCCCCCCCGGCCCAAGCAGGCTCACCCAGAGCAGGGGGCACAGGACAGCGTCCAGGCGGGGGTTGAAGATCTCCAGAGAAGGAGACTCCACAGCCCCCCTGGGCAGTCTCTTCCAGTGCTCTGTCATAAAATAAGAAAAATAAGAACATGCAGCATATTATGCTTGAGGAATTAATCCTTGGCTGTGTTATCATACTGTATGGAAATAATCCTAGGTTTTAAATAACTGGTATACAAACACGAAAGCTTGTTTTAAATATTTATAAGCACGTACACACTCTCTTTTTTGTTGTATTTTTTTCTGAAAATCAGTGGTTTGACACTAGTTTTGTTGTTGTGAATAATTGGTCCAAAGATGTCACATGAAGACCATAAAGGGATTATGGGGATGGAAAATAGGGATCCAGACAAAATTAAATCATCTTTAACATTCTTTACTAGGCTGAAGATGGTCATGCTGTGGCTAAGAAGCAGCTGGAGAAGGAGACTCTCATGCGTGTGGATCTGGAGAATCGCTGCCAAAGCTTGCAAGAGGATCTGGATTTCAGGAAGAATGTGTTTGAGGAGGTATTACCGACCTAGTAATCTCATCATAGTCTGAAGTTTATGTAGCTTCTATTCAAATTGACTATAAGCAATTACTAGCTAGTGCAGGTAGGGAAAATCAGTATTGGCCTTGCTATAAGAGGGTTGAGTAATAAAACAGTTAAAGGTTTTGCAAGAGTTACACAGTAAATCAGTGGCAGAGCTGGCATGAGAGCCAAGCGACGAGGGTATTGTTCCATGGGCAGGTGAGCTAATGCAGCAGCTGACTGCTGTGGGAAAGGGAAGGTCTTGTTCCCTCTCTCTGGACCTGGTTGTATGGCCCTGCTCCTTATTTGCACCACTTTGGGTGGTTGTTGGACCTGACTATAACCTGTTTTCCTTGACGAGAACAGCATGCGATTACTCTTCTTTTTGCAGGGGTAGTTTTCTGTTTATAAAGTAAATAGTGGGAATGCACAGGCCAGGATTGGGAAAGGGAAGCATGACCTCTCTGTACAGATGCAAAGTGTTATGTCAGTTTATCCCATCTTCTGGAAACCAGCTCTGGCCTTTGGTTCTTCTGCAAGCTCATTCAATTAGTGACTGCTGAGCAATTGTTACATGCTTCTGCCCTTCATCTCACCTATGCTATTGCAGTGTTTGGCTCACCATGCCCCAGACCATTTCAGCCTGATTAACTAGTAAAATACTTAGGGTTTTTGGTTGAGTTTAATTTTTGCCGGCTTCGTGGCTGAGTTATGTCTTGGAATTGTAGAATCATCTGGTTGGAAAAGACCTTTAAGATCATCAAGTCCAACTGTAACTGTCTGCTACTAAACCCATTTCTCGAAGCACCATGTCTACCTGTGTTTTAAATTGGGAAGTGTGGCGAGTGAAGCCTGTGTACTGTAGTGGTGATGAACTGCTAGATCAGCTCAGCCCTTCCCTTGATACTTCACAGTCCTCCCTGATATTTTTGTGGCTTCCCGAGGGGTCATTGCCTACAGTTACTGAGAGACTGCTGCTTGCTAGTTTTCTTGGCGTAAAAATTAACACAGAAGGGAAAGCTTCTTCCAGATCACATCAGGGCATGTTTCTGTGAGTAGAAGGACATGTTTCTAAGAGTCTATTTTTAGATGTAGAGCATTTCTGCCAAACAACTTGCAAAGTCTGTCTGAACTTGTGTTAGCCTGCTATGACTCCAGTTTAGGCATGCAAAGCGAACCTTGCTTCACTTGCCTGCTGTTCCTCCTTGTGGCCCTGCTGCTATCTTCAGGCCTCCTCCTAATACTCAGAACCGCTCCCTTGTTGTTTGTTCTACCATGAAGGGAGAAATTGTTTCTTTCTCATACCGTGCATTCAGGCCTGGTCAGGTCTCTGCAGAGCTCAACGTGAATAAGTGCAGGAGTAAGTCTTGCCTCACTAGTTTGGGACCAGTGTTCTAGGCACAGCAGAACTCGTACTTCTCTAAAAATGAAAATTTCTTAGTACAAACTCTGACCAGAAAAAAATTATATTTGTCTTCAGGATTGCTTGGGTTGCTGGTTTATTACTAATGTAATCAAAGTAGATTGTACAAGTAGAGGCCATAGAGTATATAGAAAAAGAGAGAAGGTCTGCATATGCTTAAAAGTGAAATTTGAAGATGCATTTTTTTCACTATAATGATTTTCAATACACGTAATGGTTACAAAAGGTGTTCATTTATATCTGACTCCTTGTGGACTGCTATTGTAATGTAGGCATGTGTATGGAGAAGGAAAGGGTTTGTAGTGTAGAATATCTGCTATGTAAAAATTAATGTTTTCTTCTCCCTCCCTCCCTCCCTCCCTCCCCCCATTTTGACTTTTGTAGCATAAACTAGCTTCTTCCTTAAACTGTATATGGATATTTTTAAAGCTGTTTTTAAGTCTAGATTACTTCTAAGAATTATATGCTGCCAAATGAGAATGGTAACTTGTATCTGTTAGTACATGCAGCAATTCTTAGCTTTAAATGGCTTCAGTGCTGTAGCTCCTATATAGTAAATAATTAGTACTGAAATAGTTAATTGTTGTCTGAATGTCATTGCTGTACTGTTTACCCTAATGTGGGAATTTGTCCCTCTCTTTTTCTTTTTTTGTCTGTGTGTGTAGGAAATAAGGGAAACAAGAAAACGACATGAACATCGTTTGGTCGAGGTGGACACTAGTCGCCAACAGGAGTATGAATCCAAAATGACTCAGGCCCTGGAGGATCTGCGAAATCAACATGATGAACAAGTCAAACTGTACAAAATGGAGCTTGAGCAGACCTATCAGGCTAAGGTAACTACTGCTATCCACAGCGCTGTCTGACAGGAAAGTCCAGTTGGTGAGATAAAACCATTTCCATCAGCTCTACTGTCTTTAAGGAGACAAGTAATTATAATTTGAAGAAGCTTTGTCCCAATGTTCAAATGCCTCCTCTGGTGCTTGTGCACGGATACATTTCTAGGGAAGTTATAGCCAGAGGTAATAGCTAGGAATAGATTTAGCTGAGAGAGGCCAGTTTGTGAGAAAACACATAGAAGTGGGAATAGTGGATGTCACGCAATAGCTGATTACATGATGTCTTCTGCTATAAGGGTTTGTTTTTTTTCTTGATGTCAGGAGATCTGGTTCTTCCTCAAAATGGAGGTGGTGGAGGAGACTTGCCATAGGTGCGGTACATTGGTTCTAAGAAGCTGACTACCTGGAGGGATGGGTTGGAGAGCTTGGAAATAATACGGACATACTGAGAGGGGCTCCATGCCACTTTACTCTTACTGTGGCCTTTGTCATGTTCTTACTAGCCCCAATACTCTTTCAAATGTGTGTAAGCCCTGGCGCTTTCCAGTGATCTAAGTTAGTTCCAGATTGGAAAATCACTAGATGCAGTTGTGGTTTCAGTGGTGGTGAGGAAACTTCAGGCAAGGTATTGAACTCTTTGATCAGCTTTGGTGATGAAACCCATGGTATATAAATTGGAAATCACAGAACCATAGAATGCTTTGGGTTGGAAGGGACCTTTGGAGCCCAACCCTGCTGCAGTGAGCAGGGACGTCTTTAGCCAGATCAGGTTGCTCAGCCCTGTGCAACCTGGCCTGGAGTGTTTCCAGGGATGGGGCCTCCACCACTTTTCTGGGCAGCCTGTTCCAGTGTTTCACCACTCTCATTGTAAAGAATTTCTTCCTTACATGTAGACTAAATCTACCGTCTTTTAGTTTAAAATCATTACCCCTTGTCCTATCGCAACAGACCCTACTAAAAAGTCTGTCCCCATCTTTCTTATAAGCCCCCTTTAAGCCCTGACCGGCCGCACTCAGCTCTGCCCGCAGCCTCCTCTTCTCCAGGCTGAACACCCCCAACTCTCTCAGCCTGGCCTCATAGGAGAGGGGCTCCAGCCCTTGGATCATTTTTGTGGCATCCCTTGGACCCTCTCCAACAGGTCCATGTCTTGTACTGAGGGCTTCAGAGCTGGACGCAGGGCTGCAGGTGGGGTCTCACCAGAGCAGAGTAGAGGGGAAATGCGAACACCGGAGTAATTTAATCCAGGAGAATGCTTCTTAAATACCTTAAATATTTGCACTCTTTTGATTTATCTGCCTGTTGCTGCAGGTGAGTGGAATGCACCTCACTCAAAAGAGAGAAGCAGCAATACGTTTTACTGAAGTAAAATAACAACTTGTTAAATCCCATCAAACTCACTGAACTCTTGTCAAAGTTTAACAGTGGTTTGACAAGGTTCAGTAAGTTTTATCGCAAGGTTCACCTTACTGGTTACTGCATGGAAGGAACATATAAAGGAAAACTAAGTTAGAATGATTCACACAGAGAACAGATATGCAAAGAGTAAGGAGAACCCTCGCGTTGTCACGAGGTTCAGAGTGGAAGTGGACTTCCTTGCTTTCTAAACTCCATTTGGAGCCTAGGTGTGGCTGGATCCAGTTTTAGTCTTGGACATGGTCAATGGCTTATGTCTTAATGGAATTATCCATACAATGTTTATAATAATATTGAGTAGCTACTGGGATTAGTAATGTTTCATAGTATTAGTTCAACATGTTGTCAGTCACTTACTGAGGATCTATTTGTGGGTAAGGGATCTCTCTGCCTTGGGAGAGGAAGGATCTCTCAGTCTCAGGTAAGGAATCTCTAACCTTGAGAGGCGTCCCTGCTGCTCGAGGGGAGAGTCACCTCACGTGCAGGCTAGCTGCCACCCAGGGAGCGTTCAAATTGGGCCCATCCTGATGGTAATATTTATAGGGTGAAGTAGTTGGCTGCTAGGCAATAGTACAGACAAGTTAGATGTCTGTGTTTTAGCTCTGCTATCTTGTTCTGTGCTTTGGTTATCTCGTGCTTTTGGATTTCGAAACCACCTTTTTGAAATATTTTTCAAGACGCCTTCACACCCTTGTATGTGAGCCAAGGGCTTTTCAGCTCACAAGTTCACCCCAAGGATGCGAGGCCTGTTGCTCCTTAGTCAGCCTGAACCAAAGTATGGTGAGGGCTGGAGTGTATCCATCACACCTGTGTGAATCCTGAGTTAGCAAATTCCAGTTCATCCAGCACTGGGGACATGGGAGGAGTAGCAGCTTTGTTGGTACAATTGCTGGCTACAGGTTAGGTTTTTTTTTTTAAATATTCATTGCCCTACCTGAAGGAGTTGGGCAGCTGCCAGTTTTCTGGTTTCTGGAACTACTTGCCCATAATTACAGCCACTTCTAATTCTCTTGCAGTGGAGAAATTATGGTGCTGCTAACATTGTTCTCCCCCGCCCCTCTCTGAGGCTTCCTTTGAATTCTTTGGTTTGATGACTTACGGTTTGAGAAACATTGATCTACAAATATTTAACTTTTTCTTATGGCAGCAACAATATAGATAAGAGATACTAAGCCCCAAAATTAAGTACAGTTAGCAGTCTTGGCATTATTCATGGAAGTTAGGAATATATGATATTTTTATAAGAGATATTTGGATTGACTTGGCGCAGTGTGAAGAAGATAGAGGGTGGAAGATGCCTAGTAGGAAAAAAAGTCTGCAAAATACAAACTTTGAGAATGAAAAAGTGATAAGATTTGAACAGAGGGATGAACGAATTCAGCTTTTTTTTTTTTCTCCACATAAAAGATCGTGGTTGTTAGGGGGAAATTGGAATGCAAAGGGAACAGTGGGCTTAGCTGTGAACTTCATCCTGTGGGTTTCTGGATGAAGATGTGTCCCTGTTCAGAGAGAGCCCGAGCTGTTAAGGAATACGGTGTCAAAGCGGACTGTTAAGTTTAGCTGCTGAACTTTTCCAGGATGAGAGGGTCTTGGGTAAAAGCTCCCTTCTTGCTCTGACCATGGTCTTTGATAGCAGGCAATAGAAATTCTGAATCTGAGGATTTGGCACTATGCCAGCACGGCTGCAAGGAGGTGAATTGTTGTCAGCATTCAAATAATTTTTAATTTTAAACTTTACAAGAACTAAGAGAGTATATATTTGACCTAAAATTCCCTCAAAACCCTTAGCCTAAAGAAGGCTCTCTGTGTTTTCTTACCTACTCAGATCCCTGTGGACAGCAGAGCTAATGAGGGTTGATTTTTATAAAGCTTTGTGCTGTGTGGCTAAGGAACACGTTCTGCCAGTAACTGGTCTTAGAATTGGGGTGGTTTAGGTCCTGGGTAGATTCCATGGAATGTAGCAGAACTGATGAAACTCCAGCTGCACGCCACGAAAAGGATGGTATCTACGTTGATGAAACTTATCATGTGATAGCTTTGAGCTCCCCTGTTGCTCTGTCAGATTTGGTTAAAATTGTAGCCACTAGAAATGAAGCTTGTTCACTAGGTAAAATTAACAAAAACTGAATTGAATCTTGGCAACTCTTAGGGCAAGAGAACACAACCCAGAAGCATTGTTTTGCCTCTGGGGCAGGATGTCACCTGGAGTGCTGTGAGTAGCTTTGGTCCTCTTTGAAGAGGTAGTACAGAGTAATAGAGAAGACTAACAGAGACAATTACGAGTATGAAACAAGTCCTCCATGAGGAAAGTTTAAAATAAAACTTTACCTGGGGAAAAAAAAAAAAGATGAGTCGAGAGAATGGGAAGATGCAATGCGTGTCTGTAAAAGGATAAACAGCACAGCGAAGCTGAATGAGGAGTGGTTGTTTATTATTTATCAGTAGAAGTAGGGACAGTGAATGTCCAGTGGCACATTTGGAAGAAACAAAAGAAAGTTGCTCTTCATTAATACGTAGCTAAACTCCTTGCCCTGTCAATTCAAACAGCAGAGACACTCCTGCCTGAAAAATCCATTGCGAGACATAAGCATCAAAATACAGCCTCTGGCTTAGGAAGGCCCTGAGTTGCAAACGGCCCGCTGAATCATAGCTGTTACCAGCCTGCCAGTCTTGCTCATCAGTGGGGGTACACTTTCTTTAACCATCCTTTTCTGGCTGATATACCTGTAGAAACCCTTCTTATTATTCTTCGCATCCCTAGCCAAGTTCAGTTCCAGCTGTTAAAATTGTAGCCACTAGAAATGAAGCTTGTTCACTAGGTAAAATTAACAAAAACTGAATTGAATCTTGGCAACTCTTAGGGCAAGAGAACACAACCCAGAAGCATTGTTTTGCCTCTGGGGCAGGATGTCACCTGGAGTGCTGTGAGTAGCTTTGGTCCTTTTTGAAGAGGTAGTACAGAGTAATAGAGAAGACTAACAGAGACAATTACGAGTATGAAACAAGTCCTCCATGAGGAAAGTTTAAAATAAAACTTTACCTGGGGGAAAAAAAAAAAGATGAGTCGAGAGAATGGGAAGATGCAATGCGTGTCTGTAAAAGGATAAACAGCACAGCGAAGCTGAATGAGGAGTGGTTGTTTATTATTTTTCAGTAGAAGTAGGGACAGTGAATGTCCAGTGGCACATTTGGAAGAAACAAAAGAAAGTTGCTCTTCATTAATACGTAGCTAAACTCCTTGCCCTGTAAATTCAAACAGCAGAGACACTCCTGCCTGAAAAATCCATTGCGAGACATAAGCATCAAAATACAGCCTCTGGCTTAGGAAGGCCCTGAGTTGCAAACGGCCCGCTGAATCATAATACCCGGGGAATATCTTGTTGAGCTTAGTCCCTGGGCATCCAGGGAACTGTTAGACCAGGACATGAACTGGGCAGCCTTTGCTCTGTCCTGGTGTGATTGTTCTTAAGATGCAGGCAGATAGTGTGATCACGTGAACCTCAGTTTTTAGAAACTATAAGGCTACTTATATAGTGGAAGGGCTAGTAAACTTTTTTTAATAGCAGAAGCAAATCCTATAGGAATAGGACTGAAATAGATTTTCCTGATCCTTAGGACATTTCCTTAATGTTATGCAATTCTTATCAAAAACTTACCATATTTCAATGTAAAATCACTTAAGATTAAATAGCTTCTTTTTTTTTTTTTACCAGAAGGATATTGCAGAATTCAATGTAACTGACTTGTGTAAAACTTGCCTTCCAGCTGGAGAATGCCAAACTGTCCTCTGACCAAAATGACAAAGCTGCTGGTGCAGCTCGAGAGGAGTTGAAGGAGGCTCGCATGAGAATAGAAGCTCTCAGCTACCAGCTTTCTAGTCTTCAGAAACAGGTAAAGTGACTACATTTGCCTTCACCTCTAATACAGAGCACTCTATTGTTCAGATATATTAACATTGCTATCCCTTCATATTTTCTGACTTTTAGGGAGAGAAATCTGTTATGTTCATTTGGGAGGGGGGTGAATTTTTAACTTTTACACTATATCCGCATAGATGCCAACTGGGTTTTCCATTGTGCTATCTACCTAGGCTAGTGCAGCAGAAGATCGCATTCATGAATTGGAGGAAATGATGGCTGGTGAGCGGGAAAAGTTTAGGAAGATGCTAGATGCAAAGGAGAGGGAAATGACAGACATGAGGGACCAGATGCAGCAGCAGCTTACAGAGTACCAGGAGCTGCTCGATGTTAAATTAGCACTGGACATGGAGATCAGTGCTTACCGAAAACTCCTGGAAGGAGAAGAGGAAAGGTACGTACGGATTCCACATTCTTTTCTCAGGAGTAGGAGGTGTTATTTTAATTTCTTATGCTTATTTTTTTACCATTTGAGCAGGAACACCCGGATGTTGTTTCACTGGCTTCACACCACAATGTGTTGCATGGAACACTTACATGGAACGCTTGCAAGTGTTCTCTTCTGAACACCATCTTTATTTTATCTTTTTTTATAATTGTCTAAGAGTACAGTGGAATACATCATTCTGTGCTCAACGCTTATCTCCTCTTTTTTATTTAAGTGCTTATACTTCTGTGTTCCTGCTTTTAAATGATTTGGCCCAACAATAGTGTGTTTAGTAGTAGCTAAATTAGCTAAAACTAAAAAGGAGTGGAGGGTTAAATGATCTGTGGTGCTCTCATTAGCACTGCTTTCCATGTCACATAACCATACTACCAAAAAATTTCTCAGGGGTGGTTACCCCCCCCCCCCCCCC